AGCTCAGTGGTTGGAGCATTGGCCCACGCACTGTAGTGCTGCAGGTTTGATATCTGAGTTGTGGGCTTGCTCCCTGCCCCCAGTCTGGACATGTGCTGGAGGCAATCAGTCAATGTGTCTCTCTCACATGGATATTCCTCCCTCCCTCTCTCTCTGCCTCCCTGCCTCCCTCCCTCCCTCCCTCCTTCTCCTGTTCCAGCATCATCTAAGGCTCCCAACCGGCTAAGAGTGTTGGGCTCTGCAGCCTGTGTCGCAGTCTCCAGACCACAGGTCTGTCCTTGGCTGCAAAGGGCAGAGCCGAGGGTGACGGGTGAGGATGGAGAGAATGCCCGCGTGTCGAGGGCTGGGGCCTCCGGTCACTCCCACCTCCCTCGGTGCGGGCGGCCGCCTGTCCCCATGTCCCCATTCAGGGAGAATCCTCGGCTTCTGTTTCTCTTACTAATAGGATTCCCAGCTGTTTGCCCCATGAATGCTCCTGCTGCCAAGTGAGTCCTTTAAAATTCCGTTGGCGGGGCAGCATCTGTCAGCATTTCCACCTGGGCCAGGGCAGAGGCTCTTACCTCGCTGGCTCCAGGTGCCCAGCAAAAGCACCCTCTCACCCTCCCCAGGTCCCCACAGGAGGCAGGAGCCACTGGGGTTCACGGAGGCCCATTTCCCCACCAGGTCAGACAGGCAGCTGGAGGCAGCTGGAGGCAGCTGGAGGCAGCTGGAGGCAGCTGAGGGCAGGCGCGCACCCTGGGCCCCCTGGTGCCCAAGCCCTGACAGTGCTCCCCCTGGAGAGCCCCCCCGCCCCCCCGACACACACACACATAAGGAGAGTCTGCTTTCCTCCTGCGACACGGGCCTGAGGGCGCCTCTCCTGGAGAGGCAGGTGCTCGCAGCCCAGATGTGAGTGGCTCCTGAAGAAAAACCCAACCACTAGAAGGTGCCTGCGGAGGGGTCTGGGGGCCTGGGGGCTATTTCCACTGCATTATTCATTCGACCTTCTGGTGGTTTCTGTTTTGGCCACTTAGGTGACCTTCCTTTCTTAAACACTCATTCCAGCCATCTGGGCAACAAGCCCAAGTCCCAGTCGGCGAGTAAATGGCCCAAAGCTTCGTCGCATTTGCATGCAGCTTCGGAAAGAGACTGGGTTGCAGGAGACGTTTTTAGCACGCCAATACATGCCAACTCCCACCAAGACTGGCCTTGAAAAAATATCTACCAGTGTAGACTCCGATTTATCTGTAAGGAGGGAGTGGCCTGGGATAGGGGCCTGGGGGAGGACGCAGGTGCAGCCATGGCCACCAGGGGGCGCGGGCACGTCAGTGAAAACCACTAAGCACATTGTGGAAATGGGAGGTGGCTGTGGCACTAGATTGAGGGGTGCAGGGGCGGGGAGGGGCCGGGGGAATGGAGAGAGATTCCTGGATCGGAGCTCCCTTCTTCTAAAATACAGCCACTTCCTGTCCCAGGAAACCCCAACCAGGGGCAACTCCTGATGGCCGTGAGGGCGTTCAGAACCCAGTCGGGTCCTTCTCCGACTGAGTGTCAGCTGAGACCCCTGCCGTGGGTCCTGAAGGCAGGAAGGCTCAGCCACTCGTTTCCCTGGAAGGTCTCTGGGTCTCAGGGAGGGACCGCTGTGGGCCCGGGACGGGGCATTTGGCTGCCATACCTGGTGAGGGCACCTCTGCCTGCGGCCCCCACTGTTGTGTTTGTTTTCTGAGCGTTGCCCTCAGGGTCAGCTGCGGATTAATAGAGACTGAGAGACCTCAGCAGCGTTGAAATTCTACCTTGTGAGCTCGGGTTTGAACCTGAGCCGATTGTGATCACGCAAACACTAGCCGACTTCTTCTTGCTGACCAGGTGGCCTCGGTGTGGGTTGAGTTTCCCGTGTGCTCAAGGGCACTGCCCCACCGTCTCCAGAGTCTCGGCCACCTGGCGCCTCTCCTGCCTGGGAAGCAGAGTGGGTCCACATGCGAGGATTTCCCAATCAGCAGAAATCCAGAGCCTTGAACTCCACAGCAAGTCTTGACTGTCTTTGTCAACTATCCGTAATATGGCAAGAATGTCCCACCTCGGGACGCAGTGGGTGGTCTGGGTTAGATTTCAGTCCCCGAGCAGGACAAGAAAGGGGTACGGCCGAGCTGGGAAACCTGGCCGGGGGGGGGGGGGTGGCAGTTCGGGGGGCAGCAGAGGGGACCTGTGGGGGCCACGGCC